AAGTGATGTTATATTATGAATTAATGTTCAACATTAAATTGTAAAACACTTACATCAATTCTGAACCAATCTAAAAATTCTTTCTTATGTATTTTTGTGAATATTATGCGCTGCATTCCTACCGGTTATTTCATTCTTAAGCTTCTCCAAATATCACCTATATAAACAATATATAAGTTTGTAATGGTAAACTATATGTAAAATGGATATTTCTTATCCATATTACTGATTTTATTTGTTACCTTCGATAGTCTTCGAACATATCAAGGTTTTCCAACACATTTGCATGAATTTGATCTAAGAGAGATCTTGGATATTTTCACGCTTCTTCTCCTTATCAGGTGCTTGAGATGTGATTTTCTTCTTATGCATGTACCACGACGCAAACACAAAGTGTTCGTTAGCCACATATCCTTTAGCTATCGAGCCCTCGGGACGAGCTCGATTGCGAACATTGTGTTTTATGGAGCCCAAGTATCTTAAAATTATAAAAAGAGGTAATTATTAGCAAGATAATATTAGAAATACATATATAATTAATGAATGTAACGAAAACCCTAACCTTTCAATCGGATACATCCAACGATAAGTAACAGAACCGACGATTCTAGCCTCTCTTGTAAGATGTTGGGTAAGATGGACCATAATTATAAAAATTAAAGGAGGAAATATTACTTCCATATTGCATAGAGTAACTCGGACCTTGGCTTCAAGTTTTTTAAATTCATCTACATCTATGACTTTAGAGCATAATTTTCTGAAGAATCCACAATACTTCATCTACATCTATGACTTTAGAGCATAATTTTCTGAAGAATCCACAATACTCAATAATAATCTTCGATGCTTCTTTCTCCATGACTTTAGAGCATAATTTTCTGAAGAATCCACAATACTCAATAATAATCTTCGATGCTTCTTTCTCCGTATTGTTACGGATTATAACTAGGAGCAATTGATGAAGAAGAGCGTGATACTCATGGATCTTCAGACCTAAGAGTTTTCTCTCTTACACCTGGACATTATTTGATATGTTAGCAGAGTAACCATCTGGCGACTTTACCAATTTGAGAATTTTACAAAATTGATGCATCTACTCACGTAACATTGTAACACGAGACAGAGGTAACTTTAATTTTTTAAAACCAACATCTTGGGCTTGCAAACCATTCCGTATATTCAAAGCAGTCAGGTCTTGGCACGCCCGTAGGTCATCATTCGACTTGTTTGCATCTTGTAGGAGAGTTGATACTATATTATCACATATATTTTTCTCAATATGCATGACATCTAAGTTATGTCGGATTTTAAGATGGTGCCAGTAAGGTAGCTGAAAGAAGATACTAAATTTAGTCCATCCTCTAGGTAATTTTTCGGCTTCGTTCTCAACTTGTATTTTTCGGACCTTTCGCTTTCGCCTCAATGACTTTTTTGACTTTAAGGAATCTCTTACTTCGAGCATGTTAAATTTAGAATAACGATTTTTTCCAAACCTAACTTTTGAAAACCCCTCAAGTAATTTTACGATCTCAACTCCTGTCAGCTGACGCGGCTTCATTCTCTTCTCAACTGTGCCATCAAACATAGCTGACAATTTTTTGTACTTATGACTCAAGGGCAACCACCTGCGATTAAACCAATAAAAACTATTTCGGCTATGTTGTAATTGAAGAGCTTCAAATTTAGGACCACATACAGGACAAGCACACTTGCCCTTCGTAGACTAACCAAACAGATTAGCATAAGCTGGAAAATTATTAATCATCCATAATAAAATAACATGTAATCTAAACGACTCCTTAAGATAGGCATCATATGCTAAAATATCCTCAGACCATAATTTTTTCAGCTCATCAATTAGAGGCTCTAAGTAGACATCAATATCATTACCCGGTACGTGCTTACCGGGTATCAGTAATGAAAGTATCATAAATGGTTGTTTCATACAAAGCAATAAAGGTAAAATTATATGGCATTAATACAACTGGCCACGTAGACCAGCCAGAGCTCATTACCTCAAATGGATTGAATCCGTCGCTAGATAGACCCAATCATACATTTTTACAATCTTCGGCAAAAAAAGGATAAATTTTATCAACATTCTTCTAAGCTAAAGCATCAGCAGGATATCTCAATTTACCATCATCTATTCGATCTTCCTTGTGCCACCTCATGTTATTTGTCATGTCCTTGTTCATGTACAATCGTCGCAATCTAGGAGCCAATAAAAAATGTCGAAACATCTTCACTGGAATTTTCTTATGTGTTACCCCTGTTTCCGTTATAATCCTTGTTGAAAAATTTGTGTGTTACTTCCATCTAGAAGCTTTTCACATGTTGAACACTCTTGAAGGTCTTTATGGTACAAAATAAAATCATTCGGACATGCATCGATCTTATTATAATCAAGACCTAGAGCGAAGACAATCTTCTCAGCTTGATAAGTTGTTTGGGGTATGCTATTCTCTCCTCCAGGAATTACCATCCGAAGCAAATCAAGAATCATTTTAAAATAATTATCTTACATACTGCTAAGTGTCTTAATATGTAGGAGTTTTAGCATAAATAAAAATCTAGAGTACTCAGTACATCCCTCATATAAGTCATTTTCACTATCTTCTAGTAGCTCCATTATTCGCTTTATTTCTGCAGAGGAATGCATATCATCAGTATTTTCGGCACTTTCGACAGCTACCTCTTCAGCTTCAACTTTGATATCATCTTCACTTTTATCTCTAATATCATCCTCGATATTATCATCAACATCATATTCTGTAGGTCGAGAAAAAAATATCATTCAATATTGTTTCTGTGTCATCTATTCGTAGGCCACCGGACGTACCAACGCGCGCATTTAGATCCTCATCTTAAGTGATACCTTCCCCATAATATGACCAATATTTATATTTTTCATCAAAAACTGATTTCATTAGGTGGATCCGTATATCATTTCTATTCAGCAACTTCATATTCCTACACCTATAACAAGGATAATACATAGCACCACATCTTAACTTTTTCGGATTTATTTAAGCATAACGCATGAAGGCATCATATCCCTCCTTGTATCGCATGTCACGAAATCTATAAAGCCATGGGATATCTATCCATGATTTGTCAGGAATTATCGTCATCTGTAAGTTATATGTAATTATTAAATACAATTAATATCACAACTACTAGTACATTCATGACTCTTATACATACAACACACATCAAACATACGTTCATATATCATTTATCAATATGAATATTTTTCTACATAAAATATATCTGAAACGTACGTAGAAACTAATTACACAAATCTAGCGGCTGTCATAGGAAGGCTTCTATCCATTAAGAATATAGTAGTGCTTACATCCAACTTCATATACATTGTATATTTTTATTTCTTAAAAATTTTGACAGCACCTACCCGTTATTCTCCTTGTATACTGTACGGATGTTATTATGCGTATCAGCTAACACCCAAAACACAAAAGAGCATATGCTTCTTGTACACGGAGAACAACGAATACATGCTACCTAAACTTTTAAGAATGAAAATATATAAAGTATACAAAGTTGGATGTATGCACTACTATATTTCTAACCCGTCCGAGAAGGACTGATCAAATAACTACGAATTTCAGTATCAATTCTTTATTCGTATAATATAAAATAAATGATCATTTCCGGAAGAAAACTTCGTCTCCTACTCAAATATGAGTCATCTATCTTATATTATAAGTCCAAAAAATTAGATATAATTATTGGACGGAAGTCTAGGGGTAACGTTATTTTTTTATTCACCTAAATTGGATTATAACACATTATTAAAAATTATAATGTGTTATATATCACTTTATTTTTAAAATTTTTTTATTTCATATATTTTCACATCACCTACTTAAATAATCACACCTATTTATAGTTTTTACATCATAATTAGGAGTGATGGACTATCATGAATCAGGTATTTTTCACATCATAATTTATGAATTTTAAACTAAATTCAGTAATAAACAATATAAAAATTATGTAAGAACATAATTCAAGTCATGAGGCTTTAGTGCTTGTCAACATAATTAAACTAAAATTAACTAAAATTGAACAAAATTAAATTAAAATTAATAAAAATCAAACAAAATCAAACTAAAATTAGCTTAATTAGACAAATTAATTAAGGAAAAAATGTATCCGGACCCCCCAAAAAATACGGTTGTGACACAACCCCTCATAAGTTTCTCATGTGCTTTAACCTTAAAAACTCCCAAAAATGTTGTCAGGCTCCTTTCACACTCTCCCAGTAATTTTTTGGGACAACTTTCTGAAAAAACTCTCCCCTTTTCTTCTTCTTTTTTCTTCTTCTCCTGTGTCTTTCTCCTCCTCCTCCTCCTCCTCTTTCTCCTCTTCTTCTCTCCTCCTCCTCTCCCCTCTCTCTTCTCCCGTAAGAGTCAAAGAGGAGAAACCTAGATCCTAAGAAATTATGACTACCACAGTCCCCAAGCTTGAATCCGAAGATGCCTCGATCCTAATAATCCCTCGGATTCCTAAATCTCTAACACTAATCCCCTGTCCCCGGATCCCAATCCCTCTCCAAACTCTCTCCCCAAACCTTGCTGACGAGCGCCGTCGCCTCCGCCGCTTCATTGCCTGCTTTTTTGACGACCTCCCTAGCCTGAGCTCCTCCTCTGCCCTCGCCCTAACCTTTACCCTCTCCAATGCCAACAAGCGCAAGAAGTCCACACCCCGCTCCTCCAATCTTCGACGAGTCACCTTCGTTGACCCCGACGACACGCTTCTTATACGCAACGCCGTTCGCCATACCTGGATCCTCTACGAGTCGATCCGAACCTGCTTGCTCCAAGAAGAGGAGTCCTCTCCTCTCCCTGTGGGAAGAAGGTCCCACGTCGATATCAATGTGGCGATGATCATGAAGAATGCCGGTCTGTGGCTGAATCAAGAGAATAGAATAGGAGTGCCGGTCCCAGGGATCCACATTGAGAGGGGACTACGCAATGCTCAATTTACCTTACCTAAAGTATACTCATCTAGCTGGCAACCCTCTGAACTCGTCTGTTGATGCCAAGCTCCAAGCAATTTGCCAGTCCCTGGAGAGCTCTGGGAAGAATAATGTTAACATCGAATCGAAGCCTGAACCGGTTGTTTCATTGCTGACCGTTGAGACTGAGGAGTCCTGTTCTTCTTCTTCTGTGGTGACGGGGGCAACGAGTTTTCCAGTTTCAGAGATCGAGAGCTTGGATTTCAATGAGGTGTCGTGGGAAGATGCCGAGGACTTTGTGTTGAGGAAATACCCAACTTATGAGATTGATTAGGATTCTATATTGTCTTTAGCTTAGTGGTGTCCGGTTTGTGTTGTGCTTGTTGTTGTTAGATTTTGGGGTTTTTAGTGGCTGTCGCAAATGGGGTTTTTAGTGGCTGTTGCAAATGGGGTTTTTGGCATTTGTATGGCCTTGTTTAGGGATTTTTAGTTTAGTTTGGTTTAGTTTTTTTAGGGGTGTAAGAACTCATGGCTACTGCTGATTATTTTTCCTTGGCGAGGCCATTGAGGGGTTAAGTGTACTTCTATGTCAGTTTCAGGTGGGTGTAAATCTTCTCCGTTGTAGCTTTGTAAGTATTCAGTGTATCTTGTGTTCAATTAAGATATATTTGTAGCTTTTATTGTTTTATGTGTCTCTCTTATTGTTGGCTTGATTCATGCTATTTGTGATCTTTGTGTCTCAGTTTGTGTGTGTGAAGTGAGGTGGGACCTAAGCACAGTTAATGATTAGTTTGAGAAGCTAGCAAATTTGACAGAATATTTTGTTGTAATCTTTATTTGAGTTTTAGCAGCATTCTATAACAGGAAAAGACAATATTTAACATGTACATTTGACAAGTTAACATATTCAGTTGCACGTTATCATGTTATAAAGAAGGCTGACATGTAATAGTAAAAGTTAACATATTATGCTGAAAGTTAACATGTTCATAAGAAAGTTAATATATGCAGATGAAAGTTAACATATACAACTGATAGTTAACATGTTCACATGAACGTTAACATATACACCTGAAAGTTAACATATACAGATGAGAGTTAACATGCTCACATGAAAGTTAACATGTTTAGGTTAAAGCCAACATTTTCAGCCAACGTATAGAGAGTTAACATTCTCATTTTATATTGTTAACATATACACCTGAAAGTTAACAAGCTTCATACTTCTTATGCCATGAATCAATCTCATTTTATATTGTTAACATATACACCTGAAAGTTAACAAGCTTCATACTTCTTATGCCATGAATCAATTTCTCACACATGATTGAGTACACACACCTGAAAGTTAACAAGCTTCATACTTCTTATGCCATGAATCAATTTCTCACACATGATTGAGTACACATCAAATTGTTGATCCTCCAGCATTGTGATTTTAAGCATGTTTGAGATCACAATAGCAAATCACAAGTTATGAGGAGAGTTAACATGTTATGAGATTTAATAGTGTATCATAACTTGAAGATTATGTACCTAAATGTATATATTATGTACACAACAACCTCAAGATTATGTACATATTATATATGTACCATAATATTCAGGTTTTGATACACATAATTTATATATAATCTTCAGTTAATTATGCACATCAAGTTCTATTTGAATGAACTTGTACATATTCACATGACTGTCACAATATATTTCACATACAATCGTGTTAACTTTCACTGTTACATGTTAACTTTCATAATAATATGTTAACTTTCTTTAAAAATTATGTTAACTTTCATCATTATATGTTAACTGTCCTCATAACATGTTAACTTTCATCATAATATGTTAACTTTCACTGTTACATGTTAACTTTTATAATAATATGTTAACTTTCTTCTTAACAAAATTTTTGAACTAAAATTCTATGTGTTTGAAAGTTTCTTTATAATAATATGTTAACTTTTATAATAATATATTAAATTTTAGTTCAAAGTTAAATTAAAGTTTCTTCATATCCAAGATTTTTTTCTGAAATATGCTCCATCGTACGAAATATAATTAAAATTAAAATTTAATCCCAAAGTTAAAATTAAAATTAAAATTAAAATTAAAATTAAAGTTAATGCTTCAGTTGAAAGTTAACATGTTCAGTTAAAAGTTAACATGTTATGATGAACATTAACATGTTCAATTAAAAGTTAACATGTTATGAAGAAAGTTAACATATTATGGTGAAAGTTAATATGTAATAGTAAAGGTTAACATATTATCATGAAGGTTAACTCTCCTCGTAACATGTTAACTTTCAGCTGAACATATTAACTTTCATCATAATATGTTAACTTTCAATGTTACATGTTAACTTTCACCATAATATGTTAACTTTTTTCATAACATGTTAACTTTCAACTGAACATGTTAACATTCATCATAACATGTTAACATTCACCATAATAAAAATGCTTACATTATTACAGCTGATATTGCTTGAATACACGATATGATTAGACTTACAATCTTAGAGATTATAAAAACCTTTAACAATGTGCTACAAAATTCTTAACAACCTCAAGATTATGTACAAGTGTATGAGATTTAACAATGTATCATAACTTGAAGATTATGTACATAATATGTATATATTATGTACATAATAACCTCAAGATTATGTACATATTATCTAACTTATACATATTCACATGACAACCACAATGCATTTCACATACAATTATAATAAATTACACTAAAATTGATCACTAAATAGACACAATATATTTTATTAAATTTTGATCTAAGTACAACCAAACCACAAAAATACATAGTATAATCAACTAAACAATAAAAAATGACATGTGACTCCCTAATGGCCTTGACCCCTAAGCACAAACCTCACCGCCAGGGCCCTTGTACATGTTAACTTGTCAGATGTACATGTTAATTTATTCATCGATAACATCTTTGAGGACTTTTCTTGATGGTCTGAAACAAATCTCAAATAGAGAGACAAGAGAAGGAAAGTAAGGTATCGCAACAGCAAGCGACAAGCATTCTTGATCTGTCATTTTGCGCCCCTACTCTAAATCATTGAGACCTGGGCAATCGATAATTGAATAAATCTCACTCTTGGTCGACATCCACCATGTTAATTACTGCTAACATGAGAAGCACATCATGAAAAAAGAGGCTTGCATCTGTTTAAAACTGAATGCAACCACAAGAGCAATTATACAAGTGTAAATTTGCAGGCTCAAAACGAAAGCAATGTTTGAAACTAAATGGCAATATAAATGTTGGCAAAGTCATCTTGTTGGGTTCAGGATTCTAATACATAAATGCATAATTTATCACATGAATAGAGATCCAAACATAAAATAGGATATATCTGGCATGCTATCAAGAAGAAACAACCACAAACAAACATCTGAAATTGAGAAAGTAACTTAATTACTAAACAGGTCAGTCAGCAACAAACCACACCACTGCAATGACAGCTAAATTTTCACGATGCAATGCATGGAAGCTATAAATTATTACAGGACTCTAAATCATTGTATCCTCACATGAATAACACCATCGGCAGTTTCCCACTTGAAGAGAGTACATGGAGACCAAAATGTGATTTTTCCCATAATTTAACAAGGGCAAATAGACAAACCTCCTCACAATTTTTGGTTCAAATGAAACATAAGGGACCTTGACCTGTTGGTCTTATAACAATTTGATGCAGATGTGCAGCTAATTTTAGGCTTTGATTCCTCAACAGCGGCCACCCCTCTGGCTCCAAGAACAAGCCCAAGCCCCCTATCATCTTCACCCGTGAAATCCCCACCTCCCTCCGCTCGACCCTCATCGAGATCTCCCCTGGCACTGACCTCGTCGCCGCCATCTTCTCCCTCGGCCGCTGCCACCAGTGCTACATCTCCGTCCTTGCTGCAGCAGGCCCCATGGCCGGCGTTTGTCTCCAGCAGCCCTCCAGCGCCGTCGTGACCCTCGTCAGCAGTTTGAGATAGTTTGCTTGTCGGGGTTGTTTCTGCCGTCACTGTCGAGGGAGAATGTGAGATGGGTGTCGATGTTTTGGCGGGAAGGGAGGATGATAACGTGGCGGCAGAGAGGAACGAGGAGAGGATTGGTTTAAGAGTGCGAAGAGAGGAGAGAGAGCAGACAATTTTTGGGTAATGGTTTAAGGGCGGTTTTAGGTTTTATAAAAAAATTTCTCACTGTGCTGCATTAAAAATGTAACTAGAGGCTAAAACATCATACATTCATGTCTTTGGGGCTTTGGCGCCTAAAAAAACGTGGGGCCTGGTAACATCCCCTTTATTTTTTGGGGACTTGATACATTTTTTCCATTAATTAAACTAAATAACTAATTAATTAAAATAGTAAATAAGTTTAAAAAAAAATAAATTTTACTTGAATGGGGGACTGCAGAGACCGAGGGGATGTGAAGTCGGGACTTGCACGGAGCAGCACTGACCGACATGTCGACGGAGATGAGAGAAGATGACGTGAGAGAGAGACGACGAGAGAGAGAGAGAGAGAGGGCGGAGGGGGCGCGGAGAGGGCGGAGGGGGGGGGGAGGGGGAGGGTGTGAAGCGAATGGGGTGCGGGGGAGCAAAAGTGGAGAGAGGGTAGCGGCGCAACAGCGCAACGGGGGGGGGCGGGAGGGGGGTGCCGCAGGTAGCGCAGGGCGGCTGACGCATCGAGGGGTTGGGGACGGTAAACGATAGGGAGGAGGGGGGAGGGGGGCGGGGGACGGGGTGGTGGGGGGCCGGCGGCGACGGGGGCAAAGACAGGAGAGAAGTGCGGACTAGTGTAGAGTTGGTTGGTTTTGATTTATATATAAACAAAATCCAATCTAGGTTTATTTATTATCTTTTACTTTTTAGAAATTAAATATCAACCTAGCAGCGAAATTTCGTCTACGGTTATCGTCTGACGAAGTAGATAACCTAGATGGAAATTTCCGTCTAGGTTGATTTTTAATTTTAAAAGATATATATATTTCCGTCTAGTTTGGCATTCTAGACGGAAATTTCCGTCTAGAAAGGCTTAAACTAGACGGATCAACCTAGACAGAAATATTTCCGTCCAAGTTGCCTCAACCTAGAAGGGAAATTCCGTCTAGGTTATTCCGTCTAGTTTGTTCGATTTTCTACTAGTCAAAGACCGAGTCAAAGTTAACCAATAGATGCCCTATTTCTCCCCACAGATCCAACTATGGACAAGACTATATATTTTGACACACATGAAGAAATAACTTTCCTATATATCGGTAGTTTGAGCATTTTGAATTTACGTTTTTATAGATACATGATACCGTTTTGGATATTTGTACGTAAAGATTATTGCTCATGGTGTGTGCTTGAGCGTTTTGGATATACTTCCTTAATTTGTTTTAAAGGATGCACATACAATCTTATATATGGTCAAGTTTTTCACATTTTCTTAACCATTTAGTTTACTCATGAATCACATTAGCTTTTTCTGGATAATGCATCATCACAAGTTTGATTAATTAGAGCTTTTTTGTTAATCTTTTTTCGATAAAATTCATCCAAATTTAATTATGGTGCACTGTTCTCTGAATTATATATCAACCAACCAAAAATTTATGATGTGTTGCATCAACAATAGATTCGTGAGTATTTGTCATAGGGTTTTATTAATGCCTAATAATTTTGTGAAATGTCAATACAGAGGTTGTGGATGATTGACTTGTACAGGTCAAAGAGCACATAAAATCAATTAGCTTGTAGTTATAAAAACAAGTATCAGAAAATATAAAATGAATTCAAGCTGTTTGTTGCGTGATTTTGATTAAATATGAATTACATATTATGCTCATTTGTAGATTGCCAGCCTGCTGCTGAATTAGTCTTTCAAGTACTAATTTCTATTAGTACTTCAACAAAAG